ATAAATAACTTGATCGCCCAGGGACTTTTTCCCTATTAATAAGGGAAAGGGGTTTTTTTTGGTTTTTTTAGGGAAAGTTTCTTTTTCTTCAACTTCTTTGCCCCCCGCCACACACACACACACACACACACACACACACACACACTGACTAGGCAGAGTTCTTCCCGGCCGACCACAGACAGCCCCGTCATGCCTGTGGGCGAGAGAGATCACGTGATCGCGCCCCATCACTTCCCCTCCCGGACGCCCTGTGGCCAGACCCGCGAGCCCGCAGGGTGGAAGCCGAAACAATGCTCGAATCGGGCCGCAGGCTTCCTCCGTGCAGGACGGCTCTTCATGCAGGACGGCTCTTCGGGCTGTTCCTATTGCATCAGTAAACGCAGCCGCAGGGTCGTCAGACACCAACGAGGAGGGGAAGACGTTCTGAAGGGAGAGAAGGACGCTCAGAATGGCCGTGTCAGCAGGGAGGGTGTCTGGATCAGTGACATGGATCTGCTCGCCGGGCAGCTCTGAGGCCCCTGGTGAGGGAGACCAGCCAGCAGGCTGTGCTCTTCTCGGGCCACTGCCCTGTGGGAAGCACTTTCCACGGAGCCCCTCACTCGGCCTCTGACCAGCCACGAGTGTGGCTTCAGGCTGGGCGTCTACTCGGCAGCCAGCTGAGCCCAAGGGGGCATCCTTAGGGCCTGGTCTTGGTGTAACTGAATGCTGCGGGCAGGGGTGGGGGCTGGGGGGGGGTGTTTCCCTAGATCAGGGCTGGGGACCCTGTTTTCTGCCAAGGCCATTTGGATGTTTAGAGCATCATTCGTGGGCCATGCAAAATTATCAACTGAAAACTCAGCCTGCTAGCTTTGGTCAACATCGAATTATCTCACCCCTCATGCCTTGGCAGGGCCAGACCACATGATTTCAGGGTCTGCAGGGCCCGCGGGCCAGATGGTCCCCACCCCTGCCCTGGAATGATCTGTAGGCAGCAACACCCCGAAGGTGGGGAGGGAGTGAAGGAGTGAGTAACGCTCTGAGGCCAGGCCTGGGAAGACCCACTTGGCATCAGGTGACCGTGGCCTTTCACATGACAATGAGCCAGAAACTCTATCATATTCAGTGTCTGAGACCCATGCTGCCGAAGGTGCTCTCTTTTTAAAGGTCTCGTGCATGGCAATGTGGGGGGAGGGGGGGACTCCAGGTTGGTGCCACCTTCTATTCAGTCCTTATCACGTGCCAGGCACTGTGCTGGCGGCACGCACACTGCATGACGTCATTGTGCAGAGGACACTCCAATTCCAGACCACAAGGCGCTGTCCGAGGTCGTGCGGCGACACATCCCGGGCTCCGTGCCGCCTCTGGGCTCGCTCCTCAGTGGGGGCCTGAAAGCACATCAGGCTTAGTCAGCTGGCAAGTAACAGCAGCTCCCGACACACCAGCTTCGGCCAGTGAGGGGGTTCGTTCCCACATTAAGACCAGTGGGAGCCCAGCCGGCGTCTCAGGGGTTGAGTGTCAACCTATGAACCAGGAGGTCACGGTTCCATTTCTGGTCAGGGCACAGGCCGGGCTGCAGGCTCGATCCCCAGTGTGGGGCGTGCAGGAGGCAGCCGGTCAGTGATTCTCATCATTGATGTTTCTGTCTCCTTCTCCCTCTCTTCCTCTCTGAAATCAATAAAAATATACATTAATAATAATAATAATAAAAAGGCCAGCGGCGAGCCCCCCAGGACCGGATGGCAGCCCCACACCCCCTCTAGAACCGCGTTCCCTCTGGCTCTCCGTATCCCGACCCCACGCTGTGGCCTTCGCACTCCTGGTCCCCTCACCGTCACAGGTGGCAGCTCTGCCTGCAGCACGGAGCCTGCATTCCAGGCCGAGGACCGAGGATGAAGGTGCCAGTTTATTCCTCCTGCTCCACCTTCTTTTCTCTGTCCCCTTTCCAAGAGCTTTCGGGGAAGCCTGGCCCCACACCCTGGCACCACCTCCAGCTAAACTAGAGGATGTTAGCTGGGTCCATGGCCTCAGAGCCTCCCGCTGCCCCCTAAACCCTAACAACCACTCGTCTTTTCAGGGCCTCCATCGGTTTTGCCTTTTCCCGGAGGCCACACAGTCAGCATCACACCGCCTGCAGCCTTTCCACGCTGGTTTCTGTCACGTAGAAACACGCCCTGAAGATTCCTCCACGGCCTTTCAGGGCTTGATACCCATTTCTTTGTCCCGCGGAGCAGGCTTCCCAGCTCTGGGTGGACCATCGCCTGCTGAAGGACAGCACTGCCCCGTGTTGGGCAGCGACGAAGACAGCGCTGTGACCCGCGTGCAGGTTTCTGTGTGGAGGTCCGTTCTCAGCGCCTTCGGGTACCTGCCGAGGAGGGCGGCAGCGGCCAGGGGATGAGAGGACATTTCCTGCTCCAAGGAGCGGCCACGTGACTCCAAGAGGCGGCTCCGTCCCGCATCCCCGCCAGCGATGGCCCAGGCCTCCTGCCGCTCCGCATCCTCCCCAGCACTGGTGCTGTCCGCGTCCTGAGTGTCAGCTCCATCCCCCTGCACGTCTCTAATGCGTTCACCCGGTACACGGCTGACGGGCTCCGAACTAACTCGCACACAAGACAGCCGGTCTCTGAGGAGAGCAGAGGTCACAGTCCCTGCAGGTGAGGTTGCAGGCGGAAAGTTTTGGGGCGCCCGCGTCCCTGTGAGCGATGGTCGGGAACATTACCAGCCTCTGACTCACCGGAGACAGCGCTGCAGCGGGCAGGGAGGGAGGCCTCGCCTGCCTGGGGTGTCTGATTCAGAAGGTCTGGGATGGGGCCCAAGAATTTGCATTTTTAAGAAGTTTCCTGCCTCCAGGCTGCTACAGCAGCGGCTCAGGGGTCACACCTGGAGAATCACTGTTCTAGATGCTTCTCTTAAAGGAAAAATACCAAATGGGGCTGCCACACCCTCCCTCGGGATGCAGGAGTCGTCACCACCACCTCCACATAAGGCTCCATCTTGAGGCCCCTGGGTACCGGAACCCAAGAGAGTTAGTTCCCGGCGTCTCCCAGCTCCCGAGGAGGCTGTGTGGCTGACAGGCCATTTGTGTTGGGGGCGGGGGGGTGTCACTGCTGTCCGATGGCACAGACTTTGCGGAGTGAACTGGATCAGTTTAACAGGGGTTCTCAACCTTCTGGCCCTTTAAATGCAGTTCCTCATGCTGTGACCCAACCATAAAATTATTTTCGTTGCTACTTCATAACTGTCATGTTGCTACTGTTATGAATCGTCATGTAAACATCTGATATGCAGGATGGCGGCCCCTGTGAAAGGGTCGTTCGACCGCCAAAGGGGTCGCGACCCACAGGTTGAGAACCGCTGGTTAAAATGTGAAAGTTTAAAAAGCTCCCTTTGTCCTAAAATACGCCATCTAGATCCACCCCAGCGTCTCTGAAATGGACCCGTGTTCCCCTGGACCCCGTGCAGCATTGGCCTCATGTCAGTGTGGGTCCTGGGACAGCGCACACGCCAGAGCGGCGTTCTCCGGGGACCAGGCCCCTCGGGCTCGGCGACCGCGGGTGCCAGGGTCCACGCACGAACACGCAAGTCCACGCGCATTCCGCGTGTCAGGACCTGAACAGGAAGCCCCGCTGGGCTGCTTCTTTATCACATAGAAGCTGTTTGCTTCAGAAAAATGAGAAATTCAACAAGAGCGTTTTTGTTGCTTTTCTTTAGCTTTTATCGGCGTGCTGCAATCGCGTAGACTGAAGGCCAGATTCTTCCCAGAAGACGCAGGGCACCGATTCCGCGTTGTCCTTGGGCCGATGCGGGGCCGGACGTGCAAAAGGACAAGACGCACAGATCCATCGGCAGCATCGGAACCTGAAGGAGGCCCGGGGTCCTGTGGTCCAGACTTTCCCTGAAACAGACTCGCAATTACACAACCCCACACCGGAGCAACGGCAAGGAGCGCCTCCCCTCTCCGCTCCACGGCGTGTGGGGGCCTGGAAGCAGGGAGGGGTTCTCACGGCACGCAGCCCACACCCTCGGGCGGCTCAGGGTTGCCCGGGAGGCGGACGCAATGCAGATTCCTGGCTCTGGCCCCCACACGTGTGGGAGGTGATTAGGAGCCCGAACATTTTCAATTGAAACAGGTGCCCTTGCCTGGCCCGTGTGGCTCAGTGGTTGAGCATAGACCTTTGAACCAGGAGGTCACGGTGTGATTGGCTCGATCCCCAGTAGGGGGCAGTGCAGGAGGCAGCTGATCCATGATTCTCTCTCACCGTTGATGTTTCTCTCTTTCTCTCTCCCTCTCTCTTCATCTCTTCAATCAATAAAAATATTTTTTTAAAAAAAAAAGAAAGAGAGAGAGAAAGAAAGAAAGGAAGGAAGAAAGAGGTGCCCCGATTCCGATGCAGGTGAGATGTTCTCCAGACCATGTAGACCAGTGGTTCTCAACCTGTGGGTCGCGACCCCTTTGGGGGTTGAACGACCCTTTCACAGGGGTCGCCTAAGACCATCGGAAAACACATATATAGTTACATATTGTTTCTGTGATTCATCACTATGCTTTCGTTATGTGTCATTGTCATAATGAAATTGGGGGTCACCACAACGTGAGGAACTGTGGTAAAGGGTCGCGTTAGGAGGCTGAGAACCGCTGAAGTAGAAGGAGACACTGCCCAGAAGACAGCCCCAGCCCCTGAACGCGGTAGATTTTTACCTGAAAGACAACCTCCTTTTTGACTTTACCGGTTGCACCCGGTTGGGTGAGCTGCTTGAGGCAGGTAGCACGGGGCTGGGACAGAGCACGCCGCGCGTGGCCCATGCGTGGAGGCTCCTTGGCTTGTGTCAAACCCCTCAGGCCCCTGGCGCCCCGACCGCTCTCACCCCACCTGCTCTTTCCCGAGGAAGGAAGGGCAGGTCATCAGAAGAGCACGTCGCTGCCTCCCAGACCCAGAATCCCCGGGAGAAGAGCGGGTGTGGGTCAGCGCATGGCCCCCTGCCCAGACGGAGGCGCCCCTCGCTGGGGCCAGCGCCGTGGGACCGTGGGGCCCGGCGGGGAGTGGGCGCCTGAAGGCCAGCGTGGGGGCACCCGTGATCGCGACCTGCCAAACCCTGTGTCAGGAAGGTCCAGCCCCTCCCCGGGCGAACGGGTGTTTATGGACAAACACGGCTCTGAGGGCCGAGACGCCCGGTGTCGGTCTACATTCACTAAACCGGGGACAAGCCCGGGAACGCAGGCACCGCCTCCGGACGCTTCACCTTCCCCGTGTTTACTGAGCACAGACGCCCCGCAGCTCCTCTCCCAGGACACCTGTCCCCTGTCTCCTGGTCCGACCGGAGGGGCCGGGAGGGGGCGTTAAACCAAACCTCCCGCGAGGGCCCAGCGACAGGCACCTCATTCCCGAGCGAAAGGCCGTTATGGCTCCTCCGAGCACTTTCCGCCTCGCGGCCGCGGGGAAACCTTGGTGCTTGATCGCCGCCCTCCTATTGCCCACCGTCCTGCTCGTGGGCCTGGGGGAGATCCGCTGCTTCTGCTGGGCCCGGCCCACCCGAGTCCCACTCACTCCCCGTCCACGGAGCCCAGCCCTCGGAGAGCCGCGCTCGAGGGTGGACGCGGGCAGCCCACCTTCTGTGGGTGGGAAGGGCCGTGTCACCGGTTCCCTTCGCAGGGCGTCCTGCCCCCAGCCCACAGCTGGGGTGGCAGGCTGGTGTCTGCCACCGAGATCCACCTGTCTCATCCGAGATGACGATGAGCCATTTCCTCCATCGGCCACATTCCCCTAACGCAGTGGTCGGCAAACTGCGGCTCGCGAGCCACATGCGGCTCTTTGACCCCTTGAGTGTGACTCCTCCACAAAATATCACGTGCGGGCACACACGTACAGTGCGATTGAAACTTCGTGGCCCATGCGCAGAAGTTGGTATTTTGTGGAAGAGCCACACTCAAGGGGCCAAAGAGCCGCATGTGGCTCACGAGCCGCAGTTTGCTGACCACTGCCCTAACATCATCTCTTTCATGGGAATGGGCTTCAAGCGTATTTTGAATGCAAATAGAACGCAGCCTTTAAAACAATCTCTCTTGGGGTTCCGAGCCTGGGACTTAGGGGCTGCGGTACCCCTGAAATTACAGGGATAATTGTGTGGACTGTGTACAGACCCCACTTTCCACAGACAGCCTCTGGAGCGGCCCTTCCGATACAAATGTACTGTGAGCCGCACACATAACCTAGAACTTTCTAGTAGCCACACTTACAAAGTAATTCAACTGATTCTAATAACGTATTTTGTTTAACCCAAGATTTCCAAGATTACTGTCCTTTGAACCTGTCGTTAGAAATATTACCATCTGATCAACGTAAACGTTGCCGGTGAGGGGCTTCACGCGTTTGCTTTTCTTCTACTAAATTGACGGTCAGACTCGGCCTGTTCCGGGCGCTCACCCGCCGCCCGTGGCCGTGGCCTCCCTATGGGCCATGGCGTGTCTACAGCCTTTCTCGAATTTTCACGGCCCATTGATAACTAGGGTCCTGGTGAGCAGAGGAGATTTTCATCGAAAACTCCAAACCAGCCCTGACCGGTTTGGCTCAGTGGATAGAGCGTTGGCCTGCGGACTGAAGGGTCCCAGGTTCGATTCCGGTCAAGGGCATGTACCTTGGTTGCGGGCACATCCCCAGTAGGAGATGTGCAGGAGGCAGCTGATCGATGTTTCTCTCTCATCGATGTTTCTGGCTCTCTATCCCTCTCCCTTCCTCTCTGTGAAAAATCAATAAAACTTATTAAAAAACAAACAAACCTCCAAACCAAGGCCTCCGTGTCCCAATAGCAACTCACAGCCTTCTGAGCTCACAGGCTTTCAGAGAGACTATTTCATCAGACCCTCGAACACCCATGGCATAGGCAGGGCCGACGTCCTCTCCTCGAGTTATAGCTCAGACAACCAGGGCTTAAAAATATTAGCCTGGCCAGTGCGGCCCAGTGGTTGGGTATTGATCTAGGAACCAGGAGGTCAGGGTTCGATTCCTGGTCAGGGCACAGGCCTGGGTTGTGGGCTCCATCCCCAGTGTGGGGCGTGCAGGAGGCAGCGGATCAATGATTCTCTCTCAATGTTGATGCTTTTGTCTCTCTCCTCCTCTCCCTTCCTCTCTGAAACCAATAAAAATATTTTAAAAATATTAACTGGTCCAAAGTCAATGGCTAGAGGTTGGGGGTTGTGAACTTGAACTGGATCTTGAGACTCCAACTCCTCAGGTCCAGCTAGAAAGAGGCAGCACCTCCCCCCACAGGACAGGGACCCCAGCCTCCTGTCCCAGCACCGAGCACAGCGCCCGGCCCGGAGCTGGCACATGGCTCCGACCTGATGACATTGAAGTTCAGCTCCATCCAAAGGGAGACCCACTCCAGACGCCCGCCTGGCCCTCGCCCAGATCACTCCGCCTCTGGGACCTACTGGTGACGCCAACACCACGAAGCCTCCTCCACACCGAAGCGGCCTGTGCTAACCGCGGACGCCCCCTCACTTCCCAGCATGCCCAGTGTGCCCGGAGGGCTTTTCCAGACAAACAGCCTTCCCCATGGCCCGCGAGGAGGCTCACCTCGCACTCGCACTCTCTCATCTCCCCTCTCCCC